ATTCCTTGGTGGAACGCAGTGGCGCAGAAGGAGCATTAGGCTGAATGATTGAGTTCACGTAGATGGTGTAGACCCAGAAGTCACTCTGAAGTCGAGCATTTAGTGACTTGGATTTGATTTGGGCGACCATGTGTAGCCAATGTAGGTCAACGAGCGGCAGAGTGACATGTGCCCTTTTAGGGCTGATGAGCATCTGAAAGGGTTTCACTGTTCGTGACGGGAGGCCTGCCAAAAGGGCAACTTAATTAATGCTGAAAACAGGTTATGTTTGGTTATTTGTTCCTGTTAAGAGCATCCATTCCAAGCAATCCTCATGTTTTGGAAATAAGGCTTCTCTAGCTGAGTAACAGCTAAAAAAGAAAGGAAGCGATGATGTCAAATTATAACTTAGCTTTGAGAAAAAAAAAATTTTGGCAGGAAGTTAAATTCCATCTAAAGGAGACGTACGGTAAATAACTGGCTACCACTTCCCATTAACAGCGGATTACTGTGTAATTTTTTCAGAAAATTACAACATTGAAACCCAACAAATCTTACTTTGATGAAGGTGATAGGAGAGAGAGTTCAACAGCAGCACAAACTACAACTTCTACAAAAATATATGTCATTTTTTGTCGTTTTTTGGGACATTAGCCATAAAAATACAGTCTACAGTTTATCTGAAGCCAAAATGAAGCTTCATTAGAGTTAAAGAAATCAAGTGGATATCTTTCAAAGTTTCTGCTTTTTTAGATTGAAATTCCCTCTTTGTGTTTCTCCGGACAGATTTTACTTGTTGAGATACAGAGGAGGGTTCATCACAAAAACAGGGAATTTTGTACCGAGAAGAAACACACTTCATTTATCTGTGATGGAGCCTCATATTAACTTCAGATAGACTTTGTAATATATTTGTACACAGAACCAGGACTGTAGATTTTTCCTGCATCACTTACATTGAAAACTTTTCAACATTATTAAAGTTGTTCACATTTTTGAAAAGGAATCAAATCATGATCTTTATCTTATCATCACCGTCTGAACCTGGTAATCTAGAAATATGACATGCAACTGAGCAAAAGTGCTGCCGTGCCTAACACCAGTTGGAAATCACTGAGTTTTGACAGAACATTTCACAGTTCAGAGACACGACCTGCTGGTTGGAGAGAGGAAGACGAAGGAGAATTGTTTTTCGAGGTGTACAGGCTGTTTATAGAGAGGCTGTTGCTCACATCTTTGTTAATACAGACACATGGCCTGAAAGCCGGGCGGGTGAACTAACATTTACAAAATGATTAAAACTTTGGGTACTTTTGTCCTGTGTGTGTGTGTGTGTGTTTGTGTGTGTGTGTGTGTGTGTGTGTGAGGCTATGGGTCAGTTAACCTCAGCTCTCCTTCCTTTCATCCTCAGGCAGGACATGGAAACTACCTCCCTTTTCCTCCTGGGCTGGTGACAGCGCTCTCTGTAGTCCCTGGCTGTATCTTAACACCTCAGCCAACTGCCATGAAAACTGTACTTTAGGTTGAAGGTTAGGAAAACAGGGGTTCTTGCTCACTGGATCCAGTATGGTCTGTGCTGATGTGGATGTAGAGGGTCAGGTAGATGCAAGAGTACTTGATGTAGAAACATTTCATCAGGTGCAAAAGCTGCTCTGGAGGCAGAAATAATCTCAGTGAGCCTAATCATTTATTTGTTTAAGGACCAGCGTGTAGGATTTAGAGGGATCTATTGATCTAAACTGTTGCCCATAAAGTTGGAATAATTTTGTTTTCAGACACAATCCTCTGCTTATTCCTATTTAAATGCATCAGTAATCACTTTGGAAGAGATTGACTGCTAAAGTTTTGAGAAGATATAAACTTTATCTGTCAAGAATAAATCACATTGTCACAATCATTTCATGGAAAGGGGTAAAAAATATTTTATTCCAGCTTTATGAGCAACAGTGTATTTTCATTAGGGTATAATCACCTGAAACTAAGAACCGTTTTCGTTGGTTTAGAATGAGCCCTTCATATCTACAGTTTTTTCCAAATGCTTTATCATTCGGGCGTTTTTTTTCCAACCCTCTGACACCCATAGGAGTGTCTCCTGAAATAGCAATAATAAACACGCGGCCTGTACCTATAGCAGTTGCACCTAACCTGGTCGACCTGGTTACTATATGATAACGGTCATTGCTCGGTAAAGTTTAAGAAAAGATCATGATTCGGGTTAAAACAAGTGTTTCTAGTAAAAAAAACATTTCTGATGTCATTCGTACCACTGCATACCACACCCTGACATCTCTATCAGTCACTGGAGCTACAAAGTCCCAAATTTGGGCAAAGTTACCAGTTCAGTGACGCACACAAGCCCAGCTCCCAGTCATACTCTTCTTTTAACATGCGTCGCCCATTAATCAGCGATGGAGAAGTGAAATTAACTGTTTTCACCGTTGTTTATAGACTTCTAAGTCAGTTGATTCAATGTACACAGAACACTGGTTACGCATTCATTATAATGTTTTTATAATGTCGTAGATGTGAGACACAAATGATATGATTGTTATTGTGTGTCATTTTTGGAGAAGCGATAAGTAAATTATTAATGTCAGCTGAATAAAATATTTGACAGATTTGTTTCTTGTTTGTAAAATAACATCAGGAATAATAATAATAAAGTATTGTACGATATTATTTAAATTATCATGATTTCAAGATGTCTGATCTAAAGTAAGAACTTCTGAAACATTGTGAGTTCACTATAATGTTTTGATTTGATTTGAGAAAATGAATCAGAAAAGTTTCATGACTCAAACTGAGTTATTATTTAATTTGACAATCTGTGGCACTCGGTTTGAGAGTGACAGCAGGTTTCACTTCCCTATTCCACATATCTATGGACTGTGTCTTTAGGAATTATGTATATTCTTACACTTGTTTTTCTTTACCTGTTCCCCACTTGGGATAATAAAATGTCTGAGTCTGAATCTGCGGAGTAATTTGTCCTTCCACCTTTGTCTTAAACTCAGGGTATAATCCAGCTCTAAAAACTGATGTAAAGAATGTTTTGTAATATTTTTAAAACTCACAGTGACAGCTGCATATAGATACGGGATGTTGAGAAAAGAAGTTGAAATTTTTTTAATCATTTAACGAACTTTACTACTGATTACCATGATAATCACTACTAACGTGTCGCCTTACACTTGCTGATTTACTCATTTGTACAGACGTCGCAACTGATTATTAAGCAGGTGAAGGACCCACTGAGACTGAAAATGTTACTTCATTCTATATTCTGCCGTCGGCCTGCCACTTATTTTTACCGCATGAGGAAGAAGGAGACCTTAACATTGGGCCATGAGTTGGAGAAACTATATATAGTGGCAGGAAGCCATCAAGGCCCACATAGGTCAGTCAGGGCGTAACTGCTCCAACAGAACTATGAAGCAATGTTACAAATATCTAATTAAAAACAAGACTTTATCTAAGTTTCTGGATCCATCACATGGAGTCACTGTGAAAGCAATGGCGACTGGAAAAAAGCAGTTTAATTTAGAAGAAACAAAACAGTCTCCAAGGCGCGGCTGGGTAAAGTCACTGTCGGCATTAGAGATAGACATCAGAGAACTAATACACTGACAGCCAGTGACCTGATTTTTGGCGCCAAACTGTTGAGTGTGTCACTGCACTGGACTGAATCCACACCACCCACTGGTAGGCATCCATGCAGAGCTCAGGATCTTGAAATTAAGCACTAGCAACTCAAATAAAAACAGTGGACTGATTATTGTTTCTACAGCATGAACAAAGGATTCCTTTCCTTGTGTGGCTACACCACGAGCCACATCCCCTCCGCCCAATTCCACACCACCTCGCCCTTTCATGATGGGAAATAAGGAGCCACTGAAGAAGCAGGGAGCCGAACACCTCTGTGAGTCGCTGTCGTAAATGTCTGCAATCACAACGACAAGTCAGTTTCCAGGTGTGAAAGTGCACATACAAATGAAATTGTGATGTCAAAACGATTCCACTGATTTCACTGCAGCATGTGGTTCATCTCCTGTTTCATCCACTGAGTCACTGTGTGTCACTTTGGGAGGGAATCAATCGGATGTAATCACATTCCTTTAGGTTTACTCAACTCAAACTCCACCTGGAAAATCAGCAGCTCAAGGACTAAATGATTTATGTAATGCAGTTTTTGTCACTTTTTGTCTCTGCATGGTGCGGCTGGTAGGTAGGAAGTCTGTCCGGCTCTCTTGTTTTTCACTTCCTCTTCACCGTCCAGTCACTATGCCCCCCCCCCCCCCCCCCCGAGGAAAAGTGGAAGGGCAGCTCTCTTCCTCCTCTGCTAATTTGAGAGAAAACAGTGAACGGTGTGTGAACGATGATTGATTTAGATCAACCATAAGTCACACAATTGTGTCCATACCTCTGTATTTGTTATTGTGCCTTAGGGAAGTTTGTCTACCTTCCAAATCCATGAGTCAGTGACTCTCCTGGAAGAAGTGCCTTCTCTCAGATCACATTTCAATCACGTACATTTTTTTTGAAGCTGGGGATTTGCTTTTCACTTGGAATTTGCTCACGTAATCAAGACTTACTGGTGGTGATGTGAAAGGTAAAGGAGGGAGAGGGGTGTTCTTCTTAACCTCTGAAATGTTACTGTAAATGTGAACTGGTGAATTCATAAAGTTTCAAAAATAAAGAATATATAAATCATGTTTCAAGGATGTGCATCTGTTTTGTGGGAGTTGGATTTTTGGCAAAGTTTTCTCTCTCTCTCTCTCATGAGGCATTAACCTTTATTTTATCATGTAGATCGACAGGAGCAGATTCACTCATGGGAGAGAGTTCTGGGATTATGTTCATCCTCCTCTTATTATTGCACCCGCGTGTGTGCGTGTGTGCGCTTGCGTGTGAGCGTGTGTGTGTGTGTTTTGGTGAATTAGTGAGGTTGGCCAAGACGGAACTTCCTTCCTCTCCTGAAAAAAAAACACACACACATAGTTGGGGGGGGGGTTATAAATGGGCACTAAGTGCAGCTTGCAGTCACTGCATTAGCTTCAGATCGTCCAACACAGAACTTTATACCACCGTCGGTTTTTCTAACATCGTTATCATGACTCCTACGACACGAGCTCTGCTTCTTTGTGCGGTTTTCCTGTGCGGGCTGGAGGAAGCGGACCTCTCTAGGAGCGGCCATTGCGCCGGGACGCAGTGTTTGGTGCTTTTTCGAGAGCCCATGGACTTTCCAGGTGCGCAGAAACGCTGCAAAGACGAGGGCGGAGAGTTATCATCGGTCGACCTGGGACAACCACAGGAGACATTAAGGAGTCTCCTCAGCGGAGTCAGCGGTAGTTTCTGGATGGAATCGCTGAACGGCACAGGCGTGAAGACCGGAGAAGCTGCGTCAGGTCCCAGAATCTGTTCCTTCGTGCTGACGGGGGGGCCCCTCATGATGTCGTTTAGGCCGTGCGATGAGAAACTGGACGGATTCCTGTGCCGGTATTCATTCGAGGAACCTTGCGGGTCGTTGCTGGCAAGCGGAGGCGCACAGGTGAGCTACAACCACACTCACTGGGGTTTCAAAGTTGAAGATTCGGAGACGTTTCCACCGGGAACCACCGCCGTGGCGGAAAAGATCGGCGCCAAATATCCGGACTCGAGGCATGTGTGTTTCTCGGGGAAGTGGATGCCAGCTCCCTGGAACTGTGAAGTGATGGAGGGCGGCTGTGAATACACGTGCAGTTCTTTAACAAAAACCTGCATGTGTCCCGCAAGACAATCTCTCCATCACAACAACTTCACCTGCACCAAAGACCCGTGCGCCGACTGCGAACAAGGCTGCGAGCAGGAGAGCGACTCTTTCGTCTGCAAGTGTGAGAAAGGCTACAGGCTGGCGAAGGACAGCAAGAGCTGTCTGGACGTGAATGAGTGCAAGGAGGAGGACCCGTGCACAGGTGTGGGTGAGGAGTGTGAGAACACCCAGGGAAGTTTTAAGTGCAAGTGCCGAGATGGATTCCTTGAGGAGGACGGAATGTGTGTGGACGTTTCAATCTGTGACAAGTGTGAGCACATGAAATGTATTAAGCACGATTGGATTTACAGGTGTGAATGCCACGAGGGGTTCAGGGTGTCACCCAAGAATGCCACCCTGTGTGAACAACACTGCACAGAGAGAGACTGTCCAGCTGACTGCGTCGTCACAAGAGATGAAGGGAAGGAGATGGTGCAGTGCCGCTGCCCTGAAGGCTACATCACAGACGTCAAGAACAACATAACCTTTTGCACCGACATAAATGAATGTGAGAATGAGAGGGAGTGTGATCACAACTGTGAAAACTTATTCGGTGGTTACAGATGTTCGTGCGATGAGGGGTACGAGCTGTTAAAGGGCCACACCTGTGTGCCGATTGAAACAGATGACGGATCAGGCTCTTCTACTCCACAGCCGACACCAGCCGGCGCGTCTCCAGCAGCAGTGCCCCCTTACATCAAGACCGGCAGCGTCTTGGGCATCACCGTGTTCATGTTGCTGTGTGCAGTGCTGCTGTTTTGCTCGGTCCGATACGTGGCGAAACGTTGCGGCAAATTTAAGCTCCCCTCCTTCCAACACCCAGATCTAGATATTTTCTACCTGCAGCAGGTGACCACAGAGACTTACAAGAGGTTCTCCTTCGACAAACAGTTTAAAAACGACCTGCAGAGACAGTAATGGCACCGCTGAAGACCTTTGAGCACCCTCCCATGTCTCATGCACTATAGCTACAGAGTCATCCGATCTATGGGACTTTTCCACTGAGTTCTCCATAGTGTCACTTCTTAAAGCTGCGATAAATGAAGACAATTGAATGAAGACTTTAAAGAAAAACAGCTGAATGTTTTCTGAATGTTTTTTTTATATTTTTTATATGGAATTTGGGTTTATGTGCCTTATAATGATCATTCCCTGGAGCTGGAGCTTCAGCTTTTTAATGCCAAGATGGAAAATTTTGGGATTTTCTTTCCAATCAGGCTAATTATTTGGAGTCATATATGACAAATAAGATGCTGTTACACAGAAAAATGTCTAATAGTAACGGTACTAAAAAGTCAGTATGGTCATTTTTTCTAATTATAGTGCAGATTCCTTACAAATGTCACAAATCCAGCAATATAAACCATATTTTTTTTGTTAATGATTGACCAGATTATCTTATAAAAGAACTAGTTTGATGTGTCATTTCACTGGAGACACACTGTAGTTTAGCTCCTTAACTTCAATAGGAAAATGTGCCTTTGTCTTTGCTTGACATTTTTATTTTTGCACATCATAATGTTACATGCCATGTTATTATTACTTTATGTGTTAACTACTTTTTTTATCTTTTGATAAAGTCTCAGTCTAAGCTCTTAGCACTGATAAAAAACAGCCATAAGAAATTCTCTTTAGTTAAAGGCACATTATTTGTGTGTTTTTTTCTGGATTACGTCACAGTGACTCGCTGTGACTGATGTTTCGCTCATAAAAATATTCCTGTCTTTCTTGAAGTTGGACATTTGAGATATGTAGTTTTAAGGCAGACCACTGATTGCTTTGGGATGCACTGGTTGCTATAGGAACGGTTTGTGAAACAGCAACAACTCTGGACCATTTTTACCCAACAAGTTCATCCTCATTCTGACTCTCTCTTCTTTAAAATAACCGTGATCAAAACAAACTGAGAATCATCTGAAGGCCAAGGATGCTGACCGACTGACGGCTCATATTTAATACAGAGAATCCGAAAAATACAGTAAATAAAAATATCTACAGCTATATAGCTATAAAAAACACTCCTACTCTTTATGGCATCATTTGTGAAAATAATTAATTTTACAGCCATAAAAAAAAACCACATAATCTATGTATTACAGATATAAGTACAACACAGATCATTTAAATCCTGATAGTTACACTTTAGTTTGTCTATATGCATCAGAAGAGCAAAACTTTCACTGATAATGCTGAGCTGCTACACTGGCTGTACATTGCTGATGTATTTTATTAACATTAGTGTAAAACAGACTGATCCAGCGAGGTCAGCTACACCTGAATGTAAACTGTGCTGCTAACGTCTTCTTATATAATGGAGCCTGTTATGAAAACACAAGTGCACCTCCTTCTGATATACCCAGCCACTGAATGTCTGTTTCACAGACTTATTATTGTTTTGTTTTTTTGCTGTTGAATATTTCACTATTGAACGATGCTGTAAAAGAAAAAGAATAAATGCAGCTTAAGGTTTTATTCTGATATAATTGTTCTCCAGGTTGTTTTTGTGTGTTTGTTTGTTTGTTTGTTTGTTTTTGGAAGAGGCATATTTATTTATGAATTTATTGTTTCATTTATTTGGTTTGGTCGGGCTGGTTTCTTTTTTCCTGTCCCCGTGGCTTCTGTTAACCTTTCACTCAAACTGCAGAGTTAATGTGAGACCCACAATCAGATCCTTTATATTTACATTTACCACAGCAAGCATTTAGCCGAGTCTGTTCACAGCAATCTGTAATGAGAGCAACATTGGAATAAGCATCATAACCAACATTATAGAGGCTATGGGGGGACTAAGATTTGAAGTGTCAGAGCCACAGTGAGTTTATAAAATAGGAGGTGTGAGAACTGAACAAACACTGGTTAATATAGAAATGAGGAAACTTCACACCTGTTTCTTTCCCCTGCTTTACACTGTCCTTCCTTCTTTCTATCATGGCACATACATGGCTGCTGATCATATGCAACACAACAAGGGAGTGGAGTCAGTGTAAAGGAAAACATGCATCTTTACAAAGACACCCTTGCTGTATTTTGTTTTCATTAAGATGTTAATTTTCCTTACCCTGCCCTGAGTTGAGATAAAGTTGCGTTCGTGATCAGAAAATGTGTAAAACGAGTGAAAACGTGCAAGAAACGTTTATTTATGTCACCGGATCTAAAGAAACTGACCACGAGACTAAGAGACTCGCTCATGGACTTACATGTTGTGCAGAGTGGAGTTGGGAGGGGCTACTGGAAAAAGGGGGCGTTGGGTGATTCCCCCTTGCGTGAGTGCGTCTTCGGTGCGTATGTGCGTAAAAGTCGTGCGTAATTGGGGATATGGTCTGTGCTCAAGGAGAAAGTTTGTGGAGAGCAGTGAGTGGCGCAGCGGGCTGATTAAGAGCGACTTCCTTCCTCCGCCGGCACAGTAGCATGGAGTTAGGGGCTTATAAATACGAGCTAAACAGTTTCTCAAACAAACAAGCCTATAGACTGCTGGAACTCGCAAGAACTTGAACGGACACAACCGAGGCGCAAACATGAGTGATGTAACGGGACTGCTTGTTGTCATGCTGGTTTCCATGATGGGAAGAACCGGCGGGGCAGGGGCGAATAACGGATACTGCATCGGGAACCAGTGTTTCGGGATGATCCAAGACCCCAGCGATTTCACAACAGCCCAGAATCAATGTAAAGATCAAGGAGGCCACTTAATGACAGTGCGCTCATCTGTATCACATGATATTCTGAGTATTTTGCTGGGGAACTTCACGGGGCGGTTCTGGATCGGTTTGCATCTGGGGACCGACTGTCCAGAAGCTGCTGCTGGGCTGAAAGGATTCCAGTGGGTGACCGAAGACAGCGAGAGTGACTTCTTCAACTGGGCGCCAAGCTTTGACAGCAGCTGCTCCTCTCCTCGGTGCGTCTCAGTTTCCAAAGAGAGCGACTTCAAATGGACCCAGGAACCATGTGGTGAACAGGCGGTCGGGTTTCTCTGCGAGTACGACTTAATTCAGCCATGCAAAAATCTAGAGGTTCCACAGGGCGAGTCTGTCACCTACATGACCCCTATGGGGTTTAAGGTCGAGGATGTGCTGACTCTGCCCATGGGCACCATCGCTACCCGGATGCCATCTGAGACTAAATACGTCTGCTTCTCCGAGAAGTGGCTGAAGGCGCCCTGGAGCTGCGAGATACAAGAAGGCGGGTGCGAGCACAAATGCGCAGTGGACCCAAACGAAGTCCCGTCCTGTTACTGTCCGCCGGGTCAAATCGTCAGCCCTGAAAATAAAGTCACCTGCGAAGAGGCCACAAACGACCCGTGTCTCGCCCTGCGCTGCGATCACGCCTGTTACAAGAGCGATGGCTCCTACGCGTGCGTGTGCGACCACGGATATAAGCTGGCTCAGGACGGCAGGTCGTGCGTGGACTTCAATGACTGCAAGGACGAGCGGCAGTGTCCCGGGGAGAACTTCAAGTGCATAAACACCATCGGCGGCTTTCAGTGCGTCTGCGAGGATGGATACGTGAAGTCCGACAGCCTGTGCGTCGACGACAACGAGTGCTTCTCTGCTCCGTGCGAGCACGACTGCCACAACACTCCTGGTAGCTACAACTGCTCGTGTTTTGAGGGATATAAAGTGGATCCAAAGTCGCCGAATAAGTGTAAACTTCACTGCGGGAGGGAGGAGTGCGCTGCGGAGTGCGACCCGAACGATGCGTCCCAGTGCTATTGTCCTGACGGTTATGTAGCAGAGGAAAGAGAGGACCACACGGTGTGCATAGAAATTGACGAGTGCATCTCCAATTTTTGTGATCAGCACTGTACAAACACATTCGGTAGCTATGTGTGCTCATGCTCTCCAGGATATACGTTAGTTAACCAATACAATTGCGTAAAAAACGAGGATCACACAGATGGATCACAGGACTCGACCACCGCTCCAGACTTCCCCACATCATCATACATACCTGGACCAACAAGGCAGCCCTCGGGGGTGTCAGTGGGAGCGTTTGTTGGGATAATACTGTGTACTGTCTTTTTGATTGTGCTGGTGGTTTTTCTGGCTCATCACATCCTCAGCCGCAGAGGGAAGATGGAGAGCAGCGGTGCGCTCAAAGCTCAGGAGGGTGAGGCTCACGGTTTACACCGTGTGGCCACAGACGCTTAAAGAGAAAGAGAGCGGCTTCAGAGGGACAGCTAAAGCGAGACATGTGAATGTGCAGATCAAGACTCGACTACAGAGCTACAGAGACAGTCTCTACAGAGACACGGTATGAAGGATGCAGATTTCACAGCAAAATAAAAGCTATGGAGGACAGGAGCGTGGTCATGTCACAGGAGAGGTGGTCACTATAAACTCACAATACAACAGAAATATTATGCAAACAACTAAGGTTTTCACCGCCTGGGAAAACTGGTTTTAATCTACAATTCAACTCACGTACAACAGTTTGAATGTAATGAGAATGACAAAGAACTTTGTTTTTTTAAACGTCTGTGCTGAAACAGTATTAAATTATAAAAATATGAATGAAGGAGAAGTCTGTTCTTTTGATTCTTGCCTCAGACACAGGTGGACTACTCCACCGTGTGGAGGAAAAAGCGAACTGCAGGTCGTGCACGCACAGACAGAGCTGCAAAATTTGCTTCACATCTAATGTCACATTTTTTTTTATTTGTTTTTTTAGAAGGGAAGGTGACACATGGACACAATCCGTCACAATAATGAACCAGATGAAGTTTATGCATATCTCAGACACACAAGCCAAGATCACAACATGATGCACATGCTGAACAGGAACTAAATAATCAGCAATAGCACGTGAATTATAAACAAAATATGATCTTTACATACCTTTGGCTATATATTAATTCTTGTTTCCCCATATCCTATCATCTATTTTCATGAGACTATAGAAATGTCATAGTAAAACATGCATATTACATAATAATCATAATGAAAAGCAGTCATTCTGCAGTAAACTGTCCCCTGTGACTCAACTATTGTTATAGATTACATTATTAGATTGTTATTAGTGATGCTTCAATATGTAACAGGGGTTTTCCTGTTGCAGCTGGTCAAATGCAAAAGCTGGTTGATGGACACGCCCCGTCCAAAGGGTCACAAGTTAAAGAGCAGAGCGGCAGAGGACACATGTACTTAATATACACAACCTACAGAAGCGAGGATACTGGAGTAAAGACCAGTTATTGTGGATCCAAAAATGACATCTAGAGGCATTTTTAGAGCTCCTTAACGGAAGGCTGAAATGATCCAGGTAGGTCAACTACAGCTCAACTTCAGCTACAAGTTTCTCAGTACTACGGCAAACAGCAGAGTTGTATTTACCAACTGATACCCTGTTAGAAAAGTCTGGAATAAAGTCTAATTTCAAAAAATACCCAAACCCCGAAATAGCTTTTTATAGATTATGACATATTTGTTTAAGAAATAGCTTACCTGGTGTGATGTCATCCGGCACTATGAGCAGTTTCCCTCTCACTGGGCTTTGCGTTAAGGACTCAAAGTTTTCAAAACCTTTCCCCGCTGCCTCGGGATAAAGCTGCTGCAAGTCTTGTGATATCTGATAAAGTCTAAAAACATGGAAAACAAACGTCACTAGAACAACAGTGCCTGAAGGAGAAACCTGGTAGGAGATGTCCATTTAGCAGATCCATCAGTTTGACAAACAGTGTGTTCATGCATTTCAGAAAGTATGCAGTCACTCTTTTTCTCATGTTGTAATGTTGCAGCCTAATGCTAAAATCATTTAAATTCATAAATGTCCCTCATCAATCTGCACTCACTGTCAGTTTCAGATTTCAGTTTTTTCTTTTTAATGAATTTGCAAACACTTCTAAAATTCTGTTTTCACGTGGTCATAATGGGGCGATATAAAAACTGGACTGAATACTTTCTGAATGCACTGAATGGTTATTAGGCTCATGTCAGCAGTGGTGGCAAAGTGTATAAAAAGCTGCTTTTTCTCTTTTCCCATGCATTCTGCACAAAGATGAGACAGACATGTTTTTGAAAAATGAAATGAAAATGTCAGAAACTTTACACTCAGAGTCAAATATAAGGAAATTTGCAAACAGAACATCAAGAAATGCAGATGCAACTAAGAGAATAAATAAAGCTTTGTTGGCTCATTATTTTTCAGTGTCAGAGCAGTAACTTTACAAACTGTGTTTTGATGGATTTGTTCACAATATAAATACAAAGTACAGGTTTTAATGACTGTGCAGCTGCTGTCAAACAGTTAATTTAAGCTATTTCACGGTCACTTTTGTTGGAGGACGTCACTTCAGTGCTGCACTGGCCATACTTATTGTTTGGACAGTGCATCATTTTATTTGTGCAATTACAAACTCCAAGGCATATAAAGCTATTCACACCTGCAGACTGACAGCTGATCCTGTGATCCGGCAGTGTTGTCGTGATCAGAAACTGATGCTGCTTCAGATGATGTGGGAGGGGCTGGAGTGAAGGAAACAGGGATATGTTTTAAGGTAATGAGAAGCACAGAAGATCATTTGGAAATACTTAATAGTTAGATGAAAATGTGTATTAAACGGTATAAACTCAATATATTTCATTCAAAAAATAACTTTCTCTTAACAATGATCCTGCTATTGTATTTCATCCATGGATATATTATTTTTCTCTTTTACCATTACTCTGATTTCCTTAATGTTTTATTCTAATTTAACTTCTGTCTTATCCTCTTTCACTTGCAGTGTGAACATCAGTTAATTATTATAAAATATTAATAACCACTACAGGTATGAGGACTTCTTTTTTTTTTAATTACTGTCTTAAGGATATGTACAATATTTTAGCAAATAAAGCAGTAAAAAAAGATTGTTTAAAAGTAGAATTAAGATTATTGTTTGCCTGTTTTAACAGCAGTTTTTCAGTCTAAAACAGCTTTTAATTTGTTTGCATGTTCACCATTAGATTATGGTAATCATTATATCTGATTATTGATCAGCTGACATGCAGAAATAACAACAAAAAAAACAGCTGATATGATTGGCTATCAACACTTACACAGTAAACTATTAGTAGGCTAAACTACTGAAATCTTTTTCATAGTGACATGATTTTTTTTATACCACATTAAAATCAAATCACAAGATAAGAAAGTGGAGAAGTGTATAAATTAACCTTAAAATGTCCAGAGGTTAACAGCTCATGCCAGCCTTCTAATGTCAGAAGGTTAGCAGGTAATGCTACCCTTGAAATTCCCAAAAGTAGCAATTAATGCTAGCCTCAAAATGCCCAAACAATGGAAGTTTAGCAGCTAATGCTAGCCTTATGTCCAAACTTTAAAATAGCAGCTCATGCTAGCCTTGCAATGTCTACATATTAGAAGTTTAGCAGCTAATGCTAGCTTCATGTCCAAACTTTTAAGCTAGAAGCTCATGCTAGCCCTGTAATGTCCACATATTAGAAGTTTAGCAGCTAATGCTAGCTTTATGTCCAAACTTTTCAGATAGCAGCTCATGCTAGCCTTGTATTCCATAAGTTAGTAGCTACTGTTACTGACATGTTTTCATTTTATCTTACCATCAAATCTATGTGGACTAAAGTGAATAGCTAATGCCACTAGCACTCTGTAATGTAGCTTAATGCTACCCATTCTCCAACACCTGGTAGCTAAAGCTAGCCTTGTAATATTCAGAGCTAAGAAGAAGCTAAAACTGCATTTGTAATTGTAATGTCCAGAAATTAGCAGCCGATGTCACTTGCACCTAAATATATATATATTTATATGGCTGTGTGTGTGTATGAGCAACTGTAAAAACACAAATCTCATGCTTTAGCACTTAATCTTTAGCACTGGAAACAATGTGACAGGTTTGTTTGTTGTTAGCATTGTGTCTTGTTACAGTTACATCACTATTTTTGGTTAAACAGACACAGTTCTACTACACTGGTTTAATCTGAGCAGTTTGATCCTCCACACTCACCATGGACTCCAGAAGTTTAAAGAGGGTGGGGCGGCGAACACTTCCCTCTTTATTGGTCTTGCTGATGTCATCGATGATATCATGGGTTATACCAAGACTGTGGGGGTGGTCGTAAGTTTAATATACTGTGTTCATGAGTATTTGTCTGATTTGGAGCAATTTTACAGTTTGTTTAGAAGAATACAATTTACGTCTTGTTTTAACTGTTGATGTTTACAAATAAAAAGTAACTTTTTGTCAGTTAATCTTTTTACATGTGACGGACTTGGATCCCCTGGATGGAGTTTGGTTCTACCCAGGCTAATTGTTCAGGACTATATAAGCAGTTGTTCCCGCACCATCTGAGGAAGAAGGATGTTTATAAAACCTAGTGCAATGGCCCTACACTTACACTTGTTACCTTGAGGCAAGTGTAATTTTAAATGCAGGACTTTTATATGTAATGGAGTACTTTTATAGTGTATATTACAGTAGGACTAGTAAGTAAATATTTCTCACTCTGCTGCCAAAAACAAACTTTTTTTCGTTTGGAGGGGCACTGGGAGAAACAATGCTTCCCTTTATACTTAACCTCACCAAACTGCTGTCTTCCATTTCACACACTTTCCTAGCACAAACATAACATACTTTTCAAACATAACAACATATTACTTACCTGGATATATGTGAATGTATAAGGAACTAAAATGTCATAGCCTACCCCTGAGAAATATAGACCCACACAAATAAATAGTAAGGAATGTCACAACAATACAGTAGAGCTGTGTATAATATTTTACTAACATTTATTATTGGGTTGGCTCTTTCCTGCACTGTACCTGGCTTTGTTCAAAGGTACGGCCCTTTTGGTACGACCACAGGAGTTATGTTCCCATTACATCCTGAGCTTTGCTTACCGGGAAAATCTCACAAGCCTCAACTAATTCCCAAATCAACTTTATGGAAATTGCTTCACGTGTGGCCAGGAAATGCACAATAATGACACGGAAATCTGATAGATGGTCTTCGGATATGAACAGCTGTATCCTTCTTAAAGATTACATATAATCCCAGAAAAGGATATAACACCTTTCTGAAGATTTGGCAGCCTTATCTAGAATATACAGGAACGTCACTGATGCCACCGTAAGAATTCATATCTTCATATATATATACAACATTGTATGATAATATTGTGGTACAATTAGGCTATTATATTATAGTATAGTAGTATACTGCCTCTACCACTACTAGTAGTACTAGTGCTAAAACTAATTACTAGTTGTGGTAGTAGTGTAACAGACTTCTAAAATGCACTTTATTAATTTTTGTTTTCAAATTGTATTTGGGGATTTTATTTATCATTTATTTATTTTGCTGAGTATTTGTGAATTTTATCTCAATCAGTTATAATTAGTTATTATAGTATTTTATTGGTATTTTTATTTGCGTTTCCTGAGGAAACTAGCTTCCATAGGTCGTAACACAGTAAGGTAGTACTATTACTAGTAGCAGCAGCAGTACTAGCAGTACTACAAGTGTACTTAGCAGTGATATAGTAGCAGTGCTGGGAAGTTGG